TTAATTAGATAAACCAGCGCATCCAGTTTCATTCCAGAACGTGTGATTTTTAGTTGATCACGTGGCTGTGTTATTTCATACTGTATTGCAGATACAGATGAGATAGTTATTGCAGCCTTGCTAAGTGAGATAGTGTGGGTGTGCATAGATAAAAGCTTAATAATTTGTAGATCTCATTTTAGAGGACTTAACAATTTTATAGATCAGAAGGTTTTTCTGTTGAAACTACTTGTAATAGAGCAATAATAAAGTTTCTGTAGCTTGTAACTAGTAAAGTTCTAGGCTGGTAACTAAAAGTTTTATTCAAATTGGTACATACTTGCTGCTTGTATTGTAACTTCTGCTTGTTTAATTGTAGTATTGATGAGTAGTTTAAATGCAGGTTTAGAAAAATATGAAAAATTGAATTAATGAAATTTTATCATTAAAATACGATTTTTGCAGTCACTAAAACTATTGTTGTCTCCGTTAATTATTTTTAGAACGCTAAGTTACATACCACTGCAGAAAAGCGGGCTTTTTCTGTTCATGTTAACATGTTGAATGAGACTGTGTTCCTGTTGCATCACAAAATTATTCCTTTGAAGGGGAAAAAATAACCTTAAACTTGCCAAACCAAAGAGCTGCTTGAATGGAACACTGCTACTTCCTTAACATCTTTAAATTATGGACAAAACAGATTTAATCAAGTCATTCTGCAGAAAAAAAGAACTAAATGTCTGTTTTAAGTTAAAGTAATAGTTAAAGTAATAGTTCTTCAGAGATGGGGATGTGAAAAATATTTTACAACTGAATTGCAGAATTTTTCTCATGGAATTTTTTGGGGTTTTTCTGTCATTATCTTGACTCAAGGCAAACGTAGTTTTTTTGCTTCAGTTATCAAGCAGAGGAAGTAAACCTAGAAGTCCAGAGGGGAACTGTGATGTTCAGAAGTGTTGTCATTTGAGATGTTTATTATTAGGGTTGTTTTAATGCTTTCGTTTGGAGTCCTGTAGCTGTTCAGACAGCATCGGGTTCTGGAGAAATTTAATCTAGTTTGTGTTTATAATTTGCTCCCTTGTATCTTATTAATGTGTCTGTCCTCTGTTAAGTGTTGTCAGTGATGGCTGATCTCCAGCTGATAATAATGCTGATTACTTGTAAGAACACCACTTAAAAAAATACATGTCTTTAGGCTGCAAATGTGGGTAGTTATGACCCCAAGTGGGAAAGATGTTTGTTTGCAAATATTATTTTCCAGTTTGACTTTGCTAGAGGAACTAAGTTATCCCTTCTGATCCTATCTAGCTGAGACAGCTTTGGTCCTAGTGAAACCTTTATGAATAGTAATAATTTATTCTTTAGGTAGTTGGTGCAGTTTGAAGGTACTTGTATTTCTGATGCTCACTACTCTTTAACCTCAGGAATAAGAATGGATCTTTAAGGGCTGCTTGTAATAGTGAATTTACTCCAGGTAAGCTTATCAGTTAAAATGGTTTGAGTGAATAACCTTCTCACAGATGTACCGCCAGAGATGTTTTTGTCCCAGCAGTGGTCTAACTGGCTGGAAAGTGAGTTGGTCTCTTCTCGGAAGCTTCAGTCAGTTCTAAATCATGCAATTGAGCAAGAGTGATTTGTCATGATTGCAATAATGCTGAAAAAATTTATAGTCCTTCTTTTGAAGACCTTGTTCTGTTTTGAAATTTAAAATACTGCTGCTTTTGAAGCTTTTGGAAGTCAACATAGCCTTTGCTTTTAACATACTAGCCCGTATCTGAACTGGGGAGACAGAGGTATCTAAGGAAACATCTGCTATGGGTCCTGGTATAGCTGACTCTCTGAACTGCAGATTTAGTAGCTTATGATCTCTCTTGAGTTTTTGATTTGATTGAAATTAAATGCTTGTAAGTCCATGTCTTTGAATATCTATTTATTATTTTTAGCATTTATTTTGACATCGTGCATGCACAGACTAGGAAAATCTGTGTACCTGCATTGTTCTCATTTTACCATTTTAATCAACAGGAAGCTCAGATGACTGGGAAAAAGATCACACTACTGTTAAGTTCTTATCTCCCAATCTTCATCTTTTAAGATACTGGGGGAGGCAAACCTTAAACTGTAAGTGGTTTATGCAGGTGGTTTGGTTTTGGAGAAGAGAAGGCATTCTTGTAAATAGGCTTTGTATTCAAGTTGGTTTATCACTGATGTTCCAAACCCAAGGTGTTGTCTTTCTAATTCTAGCAAGAGGAATTTCATCAGAAAGGGGTGCTGAATTGTATTCGGTATCAGCGCTGTAGACAGAGTGCCTGCCTTGGACTTCATGGTGTTAATAGTGAGCAGATCAGCATGGAGTCAGGAACAGAGGGACATCAATTTTGAAACATCAGTTTCAGGCATCAGATAATGTCCTCGCACGTCGTAAGTTCAGTAGTGTAACAAGGAAGACAAAAATGCCTCCCAGACAAATGTTGTCAAACCTCCCATGACACTGACAACAGGGATCAAAGTAGGTCATGAGCAAGGGACAGGAACAACCACGAGGTGTGGGTAGACAGCAAGGCTGCTTGTCTTACTTTCTGGTTGATACTGCTGTGTAGAGCTGCTGCTGCTTCTCATCCTGCACTGCCAGTACTCGATCCACACCCCTGCTGGTGAGCTACTCTTTTGCCATCTTTTGTATCATTTTTCTGTTTATTCAGTTTAAAAATCATAGGGGGATCCTGGAAGCCTTCCACAGAAACATGGTTCCTTTGGGTTAATTGGTCCATTGTTTGGCTCTTATTGTTTGCCTTTTTAAAAGTCTAAAAATGATATCAAGCTTCAGTGAATGAGTCACATGCTCTTTGGTGTGGGGTTGCTGGGACTACCACACCTCAGTGAATCACAGTGTAGTTTTAGGGATCTGTTCTTCTCTGATACCAACTCCCAGAGCCTTTGCACCTTGGGTGATTGGAAATACTGTTTTGTAGTTCATAACCAGTTTGTAACAGTATGGTATTCACGTTTGCCTTAAGCACTTGCATCCAGGAATCTTAAGATCCTGTTCCTCTCCTGAGTCATCCAGGTGCAGTGATGCAGTTTTGAACTCCTGTGAGGGGTGCTGCTAGTTGTTCTTGTTTAGTTGTTATTCTGACATGTGGGATTATTGGTTTCACTAGTTCAGTCTGGTGACTTTGGAGTCAGGTGTGCAATGGCAACTGTTGAGTGACTGTTAACTTGGAAGCTTGTAACTAATTAGCTGGGGTTACCCAAAATAAGGACCATTGGGTTTTATCCATAACAGTGTTTCTGTGTTGGTGTTGTAGGAGTTTGTTTATACTATGGAAAAACCCTATCTTGTTGAGAGGGTTGAAATACGGTTTAAGCCATGTCATGAAGAGATAAAAATACACTTTGGCCTCACTAAAAAAAAGTAGCTACCTTTAGTTAAATTGAGAAGAAGCAACCAGCTGACAGCTGGACTAGTGCTGCAGTAAGTTGTTTTATTTGCAGCTCTTCGTCATGCCATGGCTTTATACAAGAGGTCACAGTGTAGCTTGGGGACTGTGTGGAATGAAGCAGCAGAATTTGCAAGGTTGAGTGGTGTAGGTTTGGTATAACAACATTTCAGGGATGACCTTTATTGGGGAAAAAAAAATAGTGTTGGGAGCAATTTCTGTGTAAGCAGACATGTGGGAAGCTGAAGAGTTGTGCTTATTTGGTATGTTTTCCTAGGTTTTAATCAAAAAGACAACACTGAGGGGTTACCTCTTGGCTTTAGCACCTGGAGCTTGTTCTAAAGACTGGAGGATTGAAACTGTAATTATTGCATAGGCTCTGCATTCAGTGATTTTTGAATTATTCCAAAATGAATGAACTCTAAGCTATCATGTGGACTTGAGGGGGATACAGTCTTATCTGTCTTACAGACTTATCATTCCTAGTAAGCTACTTAAATAAAAGTTAAAACTCTCTGCTTGCAGTAGAACAGGAAGAAAACCACAAATGGTTAATGTCTAACTTGTAGTGCTTGATTATAGAAGATGTGGGCATTTTTTAGGATTAATATTTTTCAGTGGAAAAAAAAGTAAAAAGCTTTTTTAACTCAAATGTGCGGTTCCTTTCATCTAAAATGGTATTTTGAATCTTTTTTTTTTTCTAGATGACTCTTTATTTCTCTAGACGCAGTCTGAAAATCAAGTTACATTTCCCAGTGGCCCACCCTGGCAGTAAAACAGGGCCTTAGACAAGTCAATCACTGTTCCTTTGTTTTCCCATGCATTATTATGGTCTGCACCAGGTGTAATACAGTTAGAAGTGACTTGTAGTAATTAAAGTGAGAGTAATGAGAGCCCTTTAAAATTATACTAAATTTTCAGGACTTAAAGAAAAATATACTTGGGAAACGATGTTGAATCTGTGGCTGGAGTGATGTCAGCCTGGTAGAGGAGGATTTTGGTTGTTCAATACCCATGAAAAATGGGGAACTAAGTCTTGTAACTATATGAATATATAAAACTGAAAAAGTCTCTGAAATGAATATTTCAGTGTCATTTTTGGTGTTTATCCAAACCAGTGATGTAAGTTGATTCTAGCAATGTAGATTCTTAGTAATTTTTCTTGACAAGAAATTACTACATAATTTTACATAATTACAATATGTTGGTTTGTTTTGGTTCTCTTTTTTTCCTGTGGAAGAAAGTTCCTGTGGAAAGGAAATAGGAACCAAACTTTGAAAACTAAAATAAGGACTAAACTGCTTTTCATTTACTTTTCTACCCTTTGAGATGCCAGAAGCAATTTCCTCTTGAAGCTGACTTCCTTTCTGGAAATGATTTTCGTCTCCAACCATGTTGAGGCTCTTTTCTCATTCTTTCATCCTGACTAACTTGCTTTTTTCTGTTTGTCCAACTTGCTACTGCAGTTGAGTAGAACTTCTGGAGGTAAGTAATTACAGCTAAGTTTCTCTAACTTTCTTTTTTCAGTTCTTCCCCCCCCTACACCCACCCCCCCTCCCCTTTACCCAGTCTGTCTAGAAGGACAAACAAAGCACTATTGGTGTCCTCTGCAAGGGAGCACTGATAGGGGGCTGGCTGTAAATTGACGTGGCATGGAAAATCTCTGCTAGTTTGTAGCAGCTCTAACATCGCTGCAGAATCAAGCAGACTCTTACCAAGTTTGTCGCTTGAAATCACCACGGGCTTACTGTTTCTGTGGAAAAAAATGAATGGAAAGTACCTTCGCCTTTTGATTTGGGAACCAGACTTTTTCTGTATTTGGATTTACAGTTAATAGAAAACAAAATCAAGGGGAATTATTCAGTTCCTTTTTTTTCCCCTGTAGTGGGAGCAACAGATCTTGCTGCTCCCCCCACCTCTTCCTGTGATTTAATCATTTGCAGATCTTGCCATGGGGTGCGGACTGAGAAAGCTGGAAGACCCAGATGATAGCAGCCCTGGAAAAATCTTTTCTACACTGAAGAGACCACAAGTTGAAACAAAGACTGATTCTGCCTATGAATACGTATTGCTGGATTTTGCTTTAGAAGGTATCTCCTTACGTATCTTTATTCTTTTGAGAAAGCAAGGAATACGTTTTAACTTAGTACTATCTTGTTTGATCAAAGTATCTAAGATTTACTGTAAGTCAGAACTAGCCAAAATGTAAGACTTTTATTTTGAAACACAAATCATGACGGAGGTTCTCACTTAGATAAAATTACAATGGAAGCTACTGAAGTATTTTTAACAACCAAGCTCTCCAAATTACACAACTGTCCTTGTTAAGGAAGCTGGCTTAAAAACTGTTTGACTCATAGGAAACTAGGAAAATCTGATACTGCCATCCGTATTCACTTTGAATAATGGTTGTCTGAACTCAGTGTGGTGGTTCAGAAAATACCCTGTGCCTGAGCATTAATTGAATAACAATTTTTTAAAATGTGCTCAACTCATGAAAACAGGCTGTCATTGTCCTTGTTACTTTATGCAGAAGTAAGTCTGTTTCTTAGTTGTACACCAGGAGTAGCTTCCCCTCTTATGCCCACCCCAGTCTCTGGGTAGATGTTTTAGTCAGTCTTACTTTCATCTTGCTGTTTTTTTCCAAATGCTTTTCTTGTAGTTGTTGTGTAGTGTTTTGAAAATGGGACCAAAATGAAACAAAATTTGTATGCGCAGCTAGAGGCAGACAGTGCTCTGTGGGATACTTCCTTCCCGAGGGTGTCCCGTCTCTAACAGAGTAACTCCCTGTTCCACCAAGTTGAAAACATAAACAAGCCCAGATGGCTGCCCTCCGAGAACAGGCAGCTCAGTTTTGCAGTCACTTTAGTAGTAACTTGCATTTTCTAACAAGCCAATCTACTGGAAATTCTTAATAACAGGGATTTGAAGTAAGAGTAATTGCTAGAAGGGTTTGATAAGTGTATGTCTTATATTTTTCAGAACTCTCATAAACAAAACTTGGCCTCTGTTTAGTTTAATTCCAAGTTAAAGGGCTGTAGTAGTAATTGAAATTAAAATCTATCGGTTTGTTCATTGAAAAATTGCAAGATACTAACAGAAGCCACATTCTTTTAAGTTACAGTACTTGACATCTGACTGTTCTGTTTATTTGCACATAGAGAGAGTTTCTCACTGGCTTCTTTGAAGAAACAAAACTTTGAGTAAGTAGTAGTGGTAATAAAGCTTAGGCTGCCTAACGCATACATGAATTAGCAACTGCTGGTAATAGCATACTAAAACTTTGAGACTGAAGAGCATTTAGTGTTCTGAATAGCTGTTGTGTTTTTAAAGTAACAGGTTTCTGGAGGTGTTGCATAAAGGATTTGTAAAGGTGGTTGTGACTTTTAAGAAAAAGCATGTCAAACAAGTGCTAATAAAGGTGCATCTCTATTTTAACAACCTCTCACAACAGCACTGCAGATTCATGTTCTCCTGTTTAGTCTGATACTCAGAAGTGCTTCGCTCCAGTGACTTATTGTGGAATGAAATAAGTGAGATCAGTTTTTAGATAGTTGCTTACTATCTTTTTGGTTTCTGACTGTATGCAAGGGGATTTGTAAACACAGGTATCCTGAATGGTTCTAGCTGCATGTGTATTTGGCCTTGAAATATTTTTTTGTTTGGAGGCTCTACTTCTTAGAGCTAAGATCATGAATACAGAAAGAAGTGTATACACTGTCTTGGAGGCATTTCCAAATTCTGTTTGCTTATGAAATGTGGGATTGGCTGAAGCACTGTGGGGAGTGTGTTGGACTCTCTTTATTTTTCCTTCTCCCTTTCTACCGCAGTCAGTTCGCTCACAATCTTGCTGCTACTTGAATATCCTTTGGCTAAATGAATCTGAAGGGAAAGCCTTTCATCACTTTAGACCAAAGTTAGTTTTCAGTCTGCCAAGCTGTGTTATGCCTTCATGGCATTCTGTCTGCTGATTTCCAGAGCAAGGTGTTCCCCAACATCTGAGTTCGGTGTTTGCCTGAGTGACTTATTACCGCTGGATCTGGCACTAAGTAAAACAAGATCTGCATATGTACCTTACGGTAGGATCTCATAGGATATCATGTCCTGCATTAAAGTAGAAGTACAGCAAGCATAAATGCATTATTTCCATTTAATGTGCCTTATTCTCTGCTTCATCAGGCTAAACTCTGTGAAGTCAAAATAGGCCTGCTGGGGAGACTTTCAGGAGTCCCTGATCTTCTCCCAGGCTATGATGCAGATGAGGTCAGCCATGCTGTAGGCCAAACTAATGGGCCTGGAGTCCCTGTCCATCTTAGCTATCAGTAGTGTATTCTACCTTGGCTTCTCCCTTGCTGTCTCCAACATACTGTAATCATTACTGTAAAAATCAGCTTTGAGTTTCATGGAGGTCCTTCTGCATCAGGAGAATCCCAAATAAGAAAATTACAGCCAGTCTTTCATTTTGGTGGGATTGAATAGTACAAAGGAAATTAAGCAGTGGACTCTGAAGTGTAACTTTAAGTGCCTGTCTAGGGCTGTAAATTCTGTAGCCTCAATCATGAGGCATACCTCAGTTACAAAAACAGCTGTTAAATTTTTGAGGTCGGTTTAACCATAAAGTAGGGACAGTTTAAATACTCTACCCAAGCAGAATACTTACACCTTTTCCACAGCTCTCCTATTAGGGAAAAGAATGAATAATGATGCCAGGGTTTTTCACATCAGCATACTAATATGACATGCTGTGAAGTTCTTGTCACTCTGAATAACTGTGTGAATATGTATGAAGTAGCTGTGGTCATGGTCAATATCCTGCACCTCAAGTTTACTATACAACTAGCAAGTTAGCTGTAGTTCTGGTACTTCTAAGAGTGTTTTGGCTGCCTGTTGAAAGCATATCAGGAAGGAAACTTTATTAATGAAAAATGGTTGACATTAGCAAAATCAGTGATGTTCATATTGCATGCATTCCTGTGTTTTTGGCTTGTGGACTGTAGGACAGTTACTCCTTCAATACTCATTTAATGTCTTCTGGGTTTACTATGAGTGGAATCTTGGGATGGAGGCATTACTGTGGGCCAAATCCCCCATCTATGAAAGGGAGGGCTGTGATGTACTGTTTGCTTAAAAAGAAGGCAAGGTAGCACAAGATGGTTTACAAGATGTGTGTTTCTCACAGTACGTATTATTCTGGTTTCTTTTGATAGCTGTTCTGAGCTGTTAAGGCTTTTACACAGTGGCAAGCAGACTAGCCCTTCGTTCCTTTTTCCCTTGAAAAGATGTATTTGAAAGCATTTTAGTGTTGTAAAACATTCATCTCTGGTTTTGTGTGTTGGTTTGGTTTTTACATTAAAATAAGCCCTCTGTAATACTTATATCTCAGTATATAAGTTCCCTCCATTTTATGGTGGGAAAGCAGTATAGAGGTTGATATTTTACAGAAAACATCTCTCAGGAATCAGCAGAGTTCTCATTCAGTTTATTCAAATACAGATTTGGGCATACTGAAGATCAGTGTGTCTGGTTTATGGTACTTTAATCCAGTAGAATAGGTTGCTGTGTCTTTAAAGCCCTTAAATTCCTTGATGTTGCGCACCTACAATATAGGGCAGGTAGATAAGAGTATGTAAATGTATTCATTGAGTTAATTTCATGTTGTGAGGCCACTTAATTCCAGTTGGGGCATCCTTTAAGCATGTTGAACACTTAATGCAAGAGAAGCCTTGTAGAGAGAGGGGCCCATCAGAACACAAAGAGTAAGTCACTTCCAGCAGCAGTCACTGATAGAGACTTTACAGATTCCAAGCCAACCTGTCTTGTCGTAAGAGTTCATGTCTGCAGAGGATGAAAATTTTGGTGATGGGAAATACATGCTGGCAAAGTTACTCTGCAGTTACTGTCTGTGTATGAATGTTGATTTCCTGCTCTGTGGAGGCTCTTGAGGGCATCTACAATTCCAGTTGGAGCTGAGGGGAACAGGAATTACTGACCATCAGACTTACTGTGGCAGAATGTCATCTATTACCAGTGTGGAATCTCCCTTTTCTCTGTGCAAAAGCTGTGAATCACATCATTCAAAAAAAGGTTCTCCAAAATGTGTTCCCTTTATCTGTGTAGTTTTCCACAGTAGCTATGGACTACTTAGCTGTTGCCCATTGATTGGAAATGCATGCACACACTCCAAGGGATCCTCCTTAGAAATTAGTGACACCATATAGCTTGCTTAGGTGACATGTACTTAAGTCTACTGGAAAAAGGAATGGGGCCTGTGTTCAAATTTCAGCCTACAATCCCCAGATGACTTTTTAGAGATCCAAAAAAAGTATTTAAGAAAAACAAACCAATTGCTCTAGGCTTAAATTCATTGTATGGGAATTTACCTCACAACTAGGGTTGAAGGATACAGCTTCCACGTATTTTAAGGCTTTGGCTAGACAGAGTAGTCGCTTTGTTACGTTCCAGACCTATTGTGTGTTGAGATGTTGATGCAGCTCTTGGATCTAGCTTTGGCAAGCTAATTTAACATAAAGTGTTGCCAAATAGTTTAAAAATAGAGCATATTAACTTGTAAAAGTATGTACTTCAGCTAGTTGAATCAGCTGTAAATCTGCTCTTTCTTGTGTAAATAGAACTGTAGCTTTTTAGAAGATGTCTTGGGGTAGATGGTGTGATTTATATAAAAAGGTACTCACCCAAAAAGTATATGGACATACAGTATAATGTGCTTCTCTTTTCTGCTTTCAATTTTAGCTTCTTCAAATCCAGAAGTTATCAAGATTGGTTCTGTGTTGGATATAGCATCTAAGGTGGAAGAATATTACAACAAGGGATATGTTGCAGGAGCTGTTCATCCTATTATACTGCCAATTGGACGTAGAAGGAGTTTCCCTGCAAGTCACATGTATCGAGTGGTACTTTCACGATTAAAATTAAGGTAACAATGAAATAATTAGCATACCTTGATCCATTACTTAAACCATTTGTAAGTGGATTGCTCAACAAGCATAACTTATCAACTTGAAATGAGCACCTCAGAGAATTGAGTAACTGTTCCTTGTTTAGAATGGTGAGGAGGTTAGTAATTTTTTTTAATTAACACTAAGCATGCAATAGGAGAATGTTTAATTTGCCTTAGTAAATGTCCAAACAAAAATCCAAAGTTCCTTATCATAATCTGTGAGAAGATAAATTGTTAGTTTACCATTTTGTTTAGTATGTTTTTATAATAAGGTATTCTGTGTCTTATAACCTGCAGCAAATGTAAGACTAAACAAAACACTGGAACAGTAATATGCTGATTTAAATTCTCCCATGTCTCTTGCCTTTGTTTTCAGAACTTTTGTGTTTTCTCCTTTCTCCTAAGAGCACTGTTCAGGGAGAATGACCTATAAAGTGTGGATTGGTTAGTCAGTTTATTTTTCCTTCTTACTAAGGAGGAGATAATTCTGTGATTGGGGGCATACAAAAGCTTGGTTTTGACACTGAGGGAGAATCAAGAGTTTATGTTCCATCTCTATAGTCTTTGCTTATTACTCCTGTTTCCTCTGCACTGCAATGACTGATCATAAAGAAATTTTACTATTTTTACCAATTTTACTATTAGTTGCTTTGAATGCAAAGATAATATTTTGTTCTTCTTTTAAACAACCAGAAAAGTAGGTTTCTTACTGCATCAAGAGCTGTCATGCTTCCCCTTCTCTGCTGTACCCTAGTGTGATGCACAAAGATTCTTTCATTTTCTTTTGGAAGATCAGATGAGTGTGACTTGGAAGGTGCCTCTGCCACTCCAATAATGATTCTCTAAAACAGGGTTCGTTTGAGAGAGCTTCTCAAATGCTTTGCTTAAACACGCATTGTCCATGGCATTTGCTGCTCGCACAGTTTACCTTATAAATTCGATTGCAGACAAGGTGAATGCTGTCCATGGGGCAAAATGCTTGAGTAAAAAAAGTAGAACTCCTGCTCCTGGGAGCTCAGGCTCCAAAGAGCTGACACTGGCAGCACAGCTCCCACAACTCACCTTATCCCTGTAGGTGTGGAATCCTCATGAGCTGTGGTTTGAGCCTTTAGGCCTCTGAATAGGTGAAGGATGAGACCCTGCATATGAAAACCATTGGGTGTAGGTTCCCAATTTCCTGTGCAGGTGCTATACGTACATACATTGCTTTTCCTGTGGACAAGTACAGCTTCTCAGGCTGCTATCTGGAAAGTGACCTTTTGTATTTGAGTGTCTCATTGATGTTTCATTCTAAAGCAAAAGAGAGTGAAGGAAATGTCAAATAAAATCCTGTTACGCTATTGACATACACCAACTATTGTTGTTTGAGCTTTAGATAAAATATGAATAATACTGTTTCGTAACTTCAAATGGAAGTTAAATCTTGGTGGATTCTCAAATCTGAGCTATTTAAACATAACCTAGCCCAACGTAACTGTTACTGTATTGTGTTTATAGTATTTGCCAACACTATTTCATACAATAGCTGCAACTAACTCTGCTTTACTTACAAACACTGAACAGCAGCATGTAGACAATATAGAAGTACAATTTCTATTTATTGTGTTTCGTACTAAACACATCTGTTTCGGGCTTGCTATGTTTATAGCTTAAAATAGTATTTTTTGCATTATAAGAGATTTTAGGTTTGTCTATTACAAAAGCAGGGCTCTTTGTCCATAAAGTTCATGTTCCAAAAGATGTCTATTAACAGTCTTAAGATACTCATATTTCCACAGGAATGTTATTCTTCCCCTGACATGGTAATACACAGTACCTGCCACTTTGTGTCAGAAGCAGAACAAAGCACCAAAACTGGCTGACTTCTATTTAGAAGTATGAAGAAGCATTGCCAGTATGTCAATCATAACTATTGCAGAAGGAAAGAATTCTACATGCAAGCATTTGCCCAAGTCAGCAGCAAACTACTGACAAAGACTGCTTTCTTTCTGTGTTCTAGCCAGAAGCATGCAACACCCAGAGCACAAAGGCACCCCAGGCTGGTGATTGAGGAATGTCCTTTAATGTATGAAACACTGACAAATGAGGTGGTGAAAGAACTGCTAGATAAGGTAATGGAGGTTTGTTCAAACTTCTCTTCAGATGCTTTTCTGCCATATGTGTAAGTTACATACAGTTGTTGATTGGGTTTTTTAGTTTTGGGTTTCAACTTTGGTTTGTTTTATAAAAGCTACAGTCTTTTCTTGATGCAAAAATTGTTATTTTTCTTCACTAGCTGCTTTTTTCCTAATTTAGGACTTAGTGCTGAGGCCTCTGAGCCTTAGTGCTGGCCACTTACACCACTGAAAGCAGAATCAGGCCCAGACTCTTCACTTAGTCTTTATAAAGTGGTTGTATGATGACTTTTTCTGGAATAAATTTTTTAAAAAATCTGAAATCTTACGTTGTTCTGGGTTAAATAAGGTATTCTTAATGAAAATTAATATATTCAATTTCTAGGATTCTTTAATAGAAATTCAAGAGACACAGTAAGTGTATTAAATATTCACAGCTTTTGAAGATGCTGTGTAGTTAAAGAAAACTAAGTGTCCACTGGAATGCAAGCTGTAGTTCTAGTTCTTGTGTTTAACTTCCTCTGCAAAACTGAAGACTTGGTGAAACAGGAAACTCCTTGTTATTACAAGACATAGTGATATCTTTTACATTAGTTGCCAAGGAAAGAAGTAGAGGAAAAAGCACATTGGGGATGTTTAATGGTCTTTGAAATTATCAGTTGTTTATAATTATGAAATGGTTTGTTTTGAAATATTCAGGTGCCCACAATTTAAAATGGGAACCATTACGTGTTTATACAACCAGCCAGGTTGGTTGTATAGCATAGCAGACAAACACTTAAAGGAAAAATACACTTGAAATGAGCTTCAATTGTCTTGCTAGCAAATCTGGAACAGTAGTAGTATGTGAAAATAATTTGATTTTTAAAATGCTCCCAGGGTTTTAGTTAAAGATCTGAACCCATAAGACTCTGGCATTTCAGGAAAGAGATTGTCATATTACCTGTTTTTCTGCATGTTGCTTGTCACAGGATTTTAAATTATTTGGTTGTCTTAGAAGCAGCAGCTGTGTCTAGTCAGTGACTGGCATGTATCATTGCTGTACATACATAATAGTGGTAGATGGTAATGCTTTGGTCTGCCATGCTACTAAAAAGGCATTGTACTACCATCAGCTATTTGAGTGTTATTCGCTCTTGATTAATAGTTAAACTGGGTAGAGATCCTTCTCTCGCTGCCCTTACTAATGCAGTACTTCCCAGGCAAGTTCTTCCATCTGGACTGGGGTTTCTGTGTTTTCCTGGAAAGACTTTATTGCACAGGGGAGCTTATAACACAGGACGGCAGCGGGATCACCTCCTTAGATGGCAGCACTCCTTATCCCAGCAAAAAACCCACCCCTCCTTTCACAAGCTATATCCCACAGGTAGACACATATTCTATAGGTATATTTTGAGATTTCAGGGCAGAGAAAGACACCACTAGCAGAAAGCAGAGTTGAGAGTTTTAATTTGTTTCTAGCTCTCTCCTTTCTCTGCTGATTCACTATTCTCAGTAATAGGGAAGCTGAGGATCTTCCAAAGGAACCGGGGGATAATGAATCATGACACATGACAAATATTTCTAAAGTAATTTTAATATGACTCATATCATGTGTTTAGAGAGACGATACTACTTCTTGCATCAGTACACTTGTTGCTACGACACAGCAAGTGAAATACTTTGGATGTGTTCTAAATGAAGGATTTTGTATGCACTAAAATCAGTGCCAGTGTTGGCCACCTAATTTGGCCTGAGCCCGAAGACATGCTGGGAGACTTCCCTTTACTTTGAAATGTGGGCAGTATACAAAAACAAGCCACCCTCCTGTAGTACATTGTTGTGTTTTTTGTCCTTGAAAATCAACACTTCAGTTAGGCAGAATATGTAACTTTTCAACAACTTGTACGTACATGCAATTCTAAAATCACTTTTCAGACAAATTTCTGTTGAAAATACAGGTTAATGAAGCTGCTAAAAGAGGAAAGAAGTTTGTTGGATTTGTAACACAACATTTTCCCCAGCCTAAATCCTGTAATGGAACAAGCACGGATGGAAGTGCAGAGCTGGAATCAACACTGAGCAGAAGAAATAGGGAACACGGCAGAAAAAATTCTGATGATTACAAAAACTGGAATGAAGGGACATTGAGTGGTCACTCATCTGAGAGTGGGATAGAAGAGGAAATGCAAGGAGAAAGCTGTCTCTTACAGGATGCAGATTTCCAGTTTGGGAAAGAAGTCAGCCCTGTTAAACAACGAAAAGGAGAAGGTAATAAACACTGCTCAAGTATTGCAGAAATATAAGGTATTTTATTGAGCAGTTTTTCCTTTTAAAAAAGGTGTAAGACAAAGAACACCACAGCATGTTCTGTTGTACGAAATGGTGGGTTTGGAAGATGCATCTTCCTTAAATGCATACGTGTTTCTAAAAAGGTTGCCAGCTGAGGAAACAGAAGAAATATTTACCTTTTGCCCTGTGTGTGTGTGAACTGGGGTAATAGAGTGAAATGATATTTCAGTTTTCATACAGAACATTATAAATACAAACTCTTAATTTTGACAGTATAAATTAAAGGAAAAGGAGGAAAACCCACAAACAAACCCCAAAAGATTATCCACAGTGTAATTCTGATTTCATGTAGTGCAAACATAGCTTTTTCACTTGGTATGTGTATAACGTGGCAGTAAAAATATAATTTCTCTTACAAAGATGCAGTTGCTTTAAAAATTTTTCCTAAATGCATATAGTTTTCACTCTTAATATTAAATCGTAAATATGTAATGGATTTCCAAGAATACATTATGATTCTAGGTCTTGGCCAGTTTCAAACCTGATGAGTGATCCCTTTACTTCTGGAGCTGCAATTTTGTGTGCTCTAGCCAACTCACGTAACTTAGAGGAAACAAATCCGTTCATAATGGATTCTCTCTGGTTAACATGCCTTCAAGAAGCATCCTGAAAGAGATCACTTAACTGAATGCATTGGCCATGAAATCAGAGAGGGTGATTGTTACAAAGTGAGTTTACACTAGAGAAAAGTAAGTGTTTAAAAGTTGCTTAGGAAGGAAAAGTATTACTGAAGAATACTGGTGCTGTGGTAGAGAACTTTAGTTGTAGAAGAATCTGAGATTCTTTGTGAGAGAGATTGCCTGAAACAGTGACTTCTGATACTGAGGCCTCCTGGTTTATGAGGGAGAAAAGGTTAACAGGAAGAAGTAATCTAAAAAAAGGCATGAGAACTAATGCAGGATATTATTGTGTAGAAAATGGGCAGCATGAAACTTTCATGTCAGACTGCATTTTGACATAATAAGTTTTTCCTTGATGGGGCAGGCGTGTTAATTGCTCTCAAAGGCACCCTTTTCACTTCCCTGTTAAGAGTTAAGCACCCTTTCCCGTTTGTAGACAGTCAGGAAAATGACTTAGCACTGAGGTAATCAATGTCCCTCTTATTTTCAACACTTGAATTCAAGGTTCTTGTACAACAGGCTGAACCATTATAGCATGATCTGTTAAAGCTTAACTTTTTCCTTACAGCTTGAGATAGTGGATTCGCACAGTGTAGCAGAGTAGAAATCCTGTGCGTAAAAAGCTGTAAACTCTTGGCTGTGTTAAGGAGCTTTGTTCATGTGGACTGGTGTAACCAGTGTATCCCCTACATGCAGTCGTCTTGGGAAATTCTCAAAAAGCCATGGCAAGAACATGCCAGGCTTCTCTACTGCTAGTCACATATTGGAGTTCATAAGGCAAAACTTAAAAAGGCAGTTAAGTTTTCATAAGTGTTGTATGTAACCATTTAAAAAAAAAAAGAAAACCACTGATGTGAATTTTCCAAGGAAGTCTTACATGCTGTGTAGGTATGCACTGCCACTTCAGTGTGCCATTTCTATTTAGGTCTTATCAGAAGATGCAAAACTAGTGTCCAGATTCTAGATTTGGGGTTCATAGCGTGTGAATTCTGACCACTTATAAATACACTGCTTGCAGAGGCAAATTTCTGATGCACACGTGTGTATTGGAAAACTTGGTTTAGGCTGTTCAGATGTTGAGGTGGTAGGCAATCTGAGTGCTTTTTTTGGCAACTGCTTTATTTCTCCACAGCAGTGACATATGTCAGTGTATTTGTAGAACACATTTATATAGCTAGGACTTCATAACTTGTCACCAGTGACTTCCTGAAAAGCTATGGACTTGTGAATTTTGATTAATGCTTCTTTATGGCTGGTTTTGTGACAGCATTGTATTAATGCCTATGTATAAAAAGCATTCTAGGATACGCAGGTTTTGTACATCTAACTTTTACTTGTCAGTTACTGTGTGGGAAGCCTTGGTAGGCAACTAATTATACTGGTAGTTAAGTAATCTTAAGAAAATAATGGGTAAAAGTCAGTATTGTGCAAGGCATTTGTAGTATTTAAATTTAGAAAACTGTTTTGGTAATCTTCTGTTACAGAAACTTCAAATATTTGTCATCACAGGTTCCATCAATAGTAGAAATAAAGCCTGTTTCCACTGGGTTTTTCTTAGCTCTAGTTTATTTTCTCTATGCAAAATCCACCTACCAAAAATGTTCAGTGACAACCCAACTGTAATATGTCCACGTTTTTCTCATATCCCAGAGCTCTTGCCTCATCCTGGGTGTGTTTTGGGCTCAGGCTGAGTACAGTCACATCAGGAAACAATTCCTAAAACTGTTGTTCAGTATCAGAAAATCATGTTGAAATAAGAGATTCATATCTCTGGTTTGGAGCATTGTCTTCCAGAGGTTCATTCTTCTTTCTTTTTCTTAGACAAGCTGTATACAGTCTTCAATGTTTTTGATGATGATTCTACCTGCTGGACCTATCATGAAGGCGTTTTGTCAATGAAAGTAACAAGAAAGGGGCCAGTTATTAGTACACTGGAAGCAGACTGGCTAGAATTAACCACATTTTATTATAAACAAGGATTGTCCTTAATTGATTCATTTGTACACTGGGAAACTTCTAAAGGTGAGTATTGCCCCAGAATATCATGCAGCTTTTACTTGTTTATGTAGAACTACATCATTTGTGTGTTTTGCTTCTTGGTGTGAAGGGCACCGTGAAAACATGTTCAGATAGTCATTGTAAATTTACAGAATCTGATACCTGAAAAAGGAATAACTTGTTTTCTGAGCAGTTATAGCTCTGAATAATGAGAACTTTGGCTTTGTTTTATCAAATTGAAAATTTACAAAGCAGGAAATTAGTGTAGTGTTATAATGAAATAAGCATTTTGCATTTGTTTTTCTTTTAAAGGAAACTAAAATTGGAAAAAATTACATACATGTTTCCCTGATGTTTACATTCTCCTGCTCACTGTAGATACTGTGCTGCACTCTGAATATTTGTAATGAGACCGAGCACCTTAAGTTCTCATTGTGCTTACTGTACCTTTAAACTGAAGTCAGGCTTTCCATGCTTCCTGATTTCTCCAGCTCTTTGAGTTTAAATTCTTTCCAAACCAGCAAATTGCATTCAAATTCAACTGTTGATCCTGAAGCTTGTTCTGGTATGGGCATACATGGAGAGTAGAGAAATCTGGTTTTGTCCTTGCCCTCACCTGCAGGTGGATCCTTCAGGCCCTCCTCACACAGGTGGGAGAGAGGTCTTCTGCAGGAATCTATCAGCTCAGTTAACACTCAGATTGCTACAATGATAGAACTTCTGGCCACAGGAATCTTCAAATTTTCATAATTCTACCGGTTTGGGTTTGATCTCGGTGTTTGTTCTGGAGAGATCCTGCTAGCTCTTTCTGAGTTCCCAGCCCTCATCCTCCTCATGAGCAGACACAAGCCTGATGTCAGCAGTGCTGCTGCTGGTGCAGTCCCATCACTGCACACCTGGCTGAGCCCAAAATCCTGTGCCTTGGCAGGGCTGTACCACTGCTGATAACTGGAACACCTCTTTTAGAGGTCAAAATACTTCAGCCAATAAACTCTGATAGAAATTCACTTTCATTTGAACTGAATTTGTCTGAAAGCCAGAGATCAGAAGTTTTGCAATAAAAAGTATGTAGCTACTGTTGTGTGATTACTTGAAAGTCATGGGAAGAAAAGGGTCGTACTCCAGTGTTAGGGGGACAGACCAAGAGCCTGACTTAATGAACTGTTTCAGAATTTATTAATTCTTGAAATGTTGTTTGATAGCAAACTTAGAATTTATACCTCAATAATGTGAAACTTTGTCTTTGGGTCTGTTCACTTCTTGCTTGTACGAAGTTCTAAGTTGTTGGTGTTTCTGTAGAATTGCTTATGACTGTTCAGTGTAAGCAAGCAAAGCACAGGGCTGCAGTGAAGTCTTGTAAAAACTGCATTGAAAAAGTTTCAGAGACCTTAAATGAGTCTTGCAATACTCAGGCTGATTATCAAGTGCAGTAGTGTACTTATGAAAGGCACTTTCTTATTAAGTCATTTGACATCCACTTCTTACATGAATTACACAAAACAGGGGGTTTGAGTGTTTTTTCTATTTACTGTATGCTTTATTTAATGCTTTTTTCCTGATGTTCTGATTTAAAATAATGTGCATTCAGCATCCCATTCACATGGCCTGGATTAAGAAGGACATAGATTTTAAAAAAAGCTAAAAACATTTTAAATCTTAGGAAGTTAAATCATGTGGGTTCTTCAAAAATCAAACCCTGAAAATAGTGAGAACTCGTCTGTTTTCATTGTTCTCGGTAGTTTAGAGCGTGAATCGCGGCATTTCTTTAGCTCTGCAATAGAGTAAATACAGTGATTGTAAGAGGATCACAAGCACATAAACATCACTATATTTATATCAGATGGAGAGGGACTGGCTGCCAAATTCAACTTTGTTTTGTGCACATAACCAGTCTAATGGCACAGTTATATTGGCCAACTTTTTTGCTATCTATTAAGTCAGTGGAAGAACTAAGTTTCCTTTGGGGGAGGAGAGGTGAGAAATCAGACTCCTAGTTTTCAGTGCAGATATTTTAGAGCTGGAAAATAACTCTCTGGAGATAGGTTACAATTCACGGAGGAGTGTCTTTGGCAGCTGTTGAAATTAATCTTTGCAGCTGTTGTCCAAGAACAGTGTTGCAGTCTTCCCATTCCCCTGTAGCTGTCTGCTCTTCTCTATGTGAATAGCCATCCCATCTGTGATACCCAGGTTATGGCTTATTTAGGGTCTTCGTGTTGCCTCTTGGCAGAAGTTGGTACTTCTGCTTCAGCCCTGCCTGGCTGGTCGGTGTTTCGGCTACTCACGGGTGGGGCGCTGCTGAATTAAACCGTGTATATTCAAAGGCACAGCTCATTCTGTGGATGGAATTCGGCAGCTGATCAAGTGTCTGTAACCACAGCAAGAAATTAATTTTGCTACTGAGTTCTTAAGCTAAAATGTTTGTTCTTGAGTTCAACGTGGAAGACTTTTCTAACCAGGGAGAAGTTTGGCATTCAACAGAGGGACGTGTAAAATGCTTTTCTTGGCAGAAAACGTACTTAAGCACTTGTACTCATTACTATCATTACTTCTTGTATTTCTAAATGGGATATCTAATTGTCATCTTCACCTCACTTTTGTTTGCTGCTAGACTGAGGTGGCTTTACCAATAGTTGTCCTTTTATAGAGCTTCAGTGAAATGAGCATACATTAACTATTGGTTTAATAAAACCACTGGATACGAGTCAGGCAGCTGCACAGAAATCCTCCCCTGGTTTGGACTCTGCACATGATCTGCAGAGTCAGCAGAACTCTCGCTACCAGGATCAAAATGCAATACCCAGTTTAAGGCAGGAAGAAGTTTTAACATAAAAATTTTTCAAAAATCGTTGTTTATTTGTATTAATACAACTTCTGTGTTCTGCTGCTGAGAGAGGATGCAGTCATAAAAATAAGCCAGGTAAGTTCTCTTTTAGCAGCCATTTAGATTGTTTTGGTGTTCCTCCATTTGGAGCTGCCTTGTCATGATCACAGAGGTACCTAAGGTTAGTAGCAATGCTGTGGCAATGTTTTTGCTTTTTCTGGTTTGTTATCTGTCATGCAGCACTTTTTCTTTGAGTACTAATTCTAACAAAAGCAAAAAGCTAACTATTTTAATTTATCCACATACGCAGCTTTTTCAATACAGGTGATTTTTGACATGGTACTTGTGTCAATAACTGTTTAAAATTTATTCTGTCACATTTGAAAAACGATAAACAGATATCCTAATGTGTTGTAGGTGGACAGCCTCTTTTAAGTATCTGCTTGAACACTGAAGAAAGGTCCAAGTCCATGAACTTAAGCTTGAGTGTTTATGAATTATTAGGACTTGTGTAGATATTGATATGTTTGTGTCTGAAGCCATATATTAAGTTCCATGTACAATCAAATGATATTTATGTGTAATCTAAGAATAAGATAACTATGCTCAAAAAATGGAAATTCCTGGTTTATGTAGTACAACTTCTGTGCCAGTCTGGTTGGTTTTTAAAACCAGACTAGTTGTATTCCATTAGTCTTCTATGTTCACTGGGTGTTTTTTTCTTTATCTGCCTTCTTTCCCTGAACCTGTGGCGGAAACTATCATCTCTTTAATCTTCAGAGTATCACCAATATTGGCACAAAGATGTACATAATGTTACTGTTCAAATTTAGTTTAAGATGGTCATCTGGCAAGGTACATCTATACAGAAGGCTCCTGATGGAAGGAGAAGCAAAACCAGAAAATGAACCGATGTTTGATGCACAGCTTTAGCTTGGGCCAGCCAGATACTGTCAGGCTCCAACAAGTGAGTCAGGGAGTTGTGTTCCAACTTCCTTCCTATCAGGAATCTTCCTACAATTACTTGTGTTTCAGTCTCTTCCTGTGGCCATTTACGTATTTATTTAAGCAACAGTAGCTAGGCTTTACACTTCATGCTTCATTTATCTCTCTGCTCTCTCCCACCACCCCAAAAGCCACACTTATTGCCAGGCATACAATATTGAAGTTAAGAAAGAGGGTTTGTGCCCATCTGCTGGATTACAGGAAACTTGAATTTGGATTCCAGCATGAATGTGGCCGATGCTTTTGAGAAAACATAATGGTTCATACTTCAGTTTGCATTTCAGAAAGGGTTTTGAATAACAAGTTGACTTGCAGATTACATCAAGTTGTAACTAGATGCAGAAATAACCTCAAATTTGTTAATTGCCGTCTCAATTTTTTCAACAACTGTTCAGTGAGAAAAAACAAGCCCATGTATACATTTCAGTAAGATATCAACCTGAAACTTTCTATTTCAGTTTATATTTGTCTTTATGTTCACAGGGGACTATTTGCCCAAATCTTTAGAGGGATTATTTATCTATGAAGAAGAAGGTGCTGGGGTTCCAGGCTCCAACAGGAAAGGAAATGATGCGATAGTTGTTGAACAATGGACAGTCATTGAGGTAAATTAGTGATTACTAGTATTGCAATTTCCTATTTATAGTTTTCTTTGTTTTTCCTTAGAATGCTTGTACCAATGTTTGATAAAGGTTCAGAATGGTTTCTTGAAGCCACCTGCATAAACTACACTAAAGCCTTGATTCATAAAAGTGAAGTCAGGCCTGTGGCCACTGGTCGGTGTGCATAGAAGAAATGTGCCACAGGGATTCTGGCTAGACGCTTATGAATGTTCCTACCAACAAGCACAACCACCAAAGAAAATGTTGTTTGCTTTTTTTATGTATGTGTTTCAGACCAATACAGACATATTTTCAGCAGGCGCAGCTCTACTGACAATATGTTGAAGTTTTTTTAAACAAAGAGGGGAAGAAAACAGCAAAAACTAGAAACTGAACAAGAAAATTTGATAGCAAATTGAGCATTGTTTTCAGATGTGTGTTTCTAGTAGAATTTTAGAGCTAAATATGGAAGATTTTTCCTAATAATTGTTCTTATGCGTATATCTCAGTATAAATACAAATAAATGTTGCATATACAGCGATAAAATTATTTAATGTTTTTAGTATTACAAGATTATTGGTATGAATTATTGACATCTGAAAGTAATCATTGCTGGAGGATACTAAGGGCTTCAGAAATATTCAATAATAATACATTTACTAATGTGGAAAAAAGAATTAAAATGAAGACTTTTTTTCCACTTATTTGGGGTTGGTTTGTTTTTAAATACACCAAAAAAAACCCAAACACCAAACCCCCAAAACTTGTCTGTAGCTAGGCGAGATGCTTGTTGTTCACATGTGAGGTAAAACCCTAAATACATCAATTGAGACACCGATTTAGGTGTTCAAAAATTTTTAGACATTAATTTACAAGGTAACAAGTTCAGCGAGTGAGATGTGCTTTGAATGCCTTGCTGATTCAGGTCTCATACCTGAAGGGAATGTTCTGTTTTCCTCATTTTCTCTAGTCTTGAACTTTCCACTTGTGTTCAGTTGGAAACAATGAATCTCGATGTCATCTCAAAAGATTATCTCGTTATAAATGAGTCGTAATTGGTGTAGAAATCCAAATAAAACATGTGCAGAGTCTCTTTACTACTTTTTATAATTATTAATGTAGGGGTGTGAAATTAAAACAGATTATGGACCTTTATTGCACACACTGGCTGAGTTTGGATGGCTCCTGACCTGTGTCCTGCCTACACCTATTGTGCGACATGACAGGTACCCAAACAATAATTACAGCATTTTTGGTGTATGAATCTCAGGCTTATCACTTGATTACTTGTGTAATTAATTGTAAGAGGAAAAAAAAATGCTAATACTACCTGCATATAGAACTTGAGATGCAGGTAGCATTATGGTGACATTTTCTACCCCACTGTTTCAGGACTGTACCTTCAGTGAGTTTCAAACTAGACCAGTAATCCTAAACTTAAAAAACATTGATTGTATCTAAACATTAAAGATTTTTATTTAGGAAACTTTTTTTATCACGTACCTAGTCCCCAGCAATGGGGTTACTCTCAAGTTTATGCAAGTTTGTGTTGAAATGTTTCACTCATTTAGGTCCTTGGTGAATGACTGGTTAAACGATGTAAGAAGTAATGTTGCCACAAGCCAGTCAGGCAGTATTTATTGTGATTTAAAATGTGCTAATCCAGCAAGTTATTGGGCTGTTTCTCTTTTAAATGTAGGCATTTTATTTAGTTTCAAATGAACCCAAACTACTGGATTTCAGTTCTCTTACTGTAATACTTAGATGAATAAGGGGGCTCTGCATAGGGGGAGCTAAAGAGCAGACCTGGAGCCTCTATAAGGTTCCAGATTTTTAACTAAAGAAAGTACTGTGCTTTTCCTCATGGTATCAAGCTAAAAATGGCAAATGAAGCACTGGATTATGCATACATGTCTTTTCTCTCTTCTTTTTTTTTTTTATTCTGCTCTCTTGAGATTGATTGCCAAGGCTTGAAAACAAACCGGTGTACTGAGTCATGGCTTAGGGCTTATTAAGAACAATGG